TAGGAGCGGGAAGGAGACGCTGGCCAAGTTCAGTGCTGCGTTTCCACACAAATATTTAGAAAGCCATTCTATGCAGGAGAGTCAATACCAGTAACTAGACCTGTTTGCTCTGGAACTTGTCCCTCTGAAGTCACTCTTCCAGGGCTGACTGCGCATTAAATTCTATGTATCCCCACTGAAACAACTTCAGAGACCCTCTCATTGAGGCAGTTCAGTATTTTCATGTATTTCTAATAAGCAGCAGAATAAGCTGCAAAATAAATGTGAGGTTGGTTTGAGCTGGTGTCATGAGGAGAATGATGATAATCTACAATGTGGTTGGGACCCAGATGAAATTGCTTCTGAGCCCAACAGAAGGAGAAAGCTGATTTGTCAGAAAGGGTAAAGAACAGCTTCAGAAAGCACAGTTCAGCTTAGCAGGGTGAGACAGAAGTTACACAGATTCAGTGCCTATCAGGATTTGATGTTTAGCCAGATAAGAGGGATCTCCTCCTTTTTTAAATATACTGAGGAAACAACCTCCTCAGCTTAAACAAATAAAACCCCAACTATTACACCAGCCCGGCTGGCAAGATTCATTCTATTGCCTAAAATGGTAGGGAGAGGAAAAATTTATTTGCCCCTCAAAAAAAAATGCAGGTTTGCCTTTCAGCAATGGAATCACAGCAGTTAAGTTGGCCGTTGCACCTCCTGCTTGGTCATGGCAAGAAGTTCATCACTTGAATTTCTGAGCTGGGAGAGGAAGCCAGAAACTTGCTGGCTGGCAGCAGGGCTTCACTTTGGGGGTTTTTTTAAGGATGATTTCAGCTCGGTAGCAAAATGTGATGTTTGAGTAAGGATACCACTGCCCTCTGCTGAGGGACGCGAGTGTTTCTCCCCGTGTGTTTCATCTGCCAGCAAAACCAGCAGCTTCATGGCTTGGAATGCAAGTGTAATTCCCACTGCCTCTGTCTTTCCTCCAAAGTTTGCTGATCTGAATCTCTTGCACCAAATATTTTGAAAACTCCACACCTCACACAGAGTAAAGAGGAGCAAGGGCAATTACACACAAAATCTTGACATGCTGATAGCAGAAACTGTGAAACTTGAGCCGGAGTTTTTAAAAAGCAATCTTTGTAATTTATAAACACTTCAGGCATCCTCAACAATGTGATATCTGCTGGAGCTAGTTTTCGGCTTTCCTGCCAAAATTCAGTCATGCATTATCAGATCAGGCTGAAGTCCTCCACAGTTTCTTAAATTGCTTTCTTTTTTAAGTGGAGCACTTGCCTGACTGAGTTTTGGCCTCTTAAATGCACACCATTATTTCTGGTTATGAAAAAATAGAAGCTCATTCAATGCTACATTTATGACTGGTTTTACATTCTAAAACTACCATTGCTGTAATTTTGTTAATATTGTTTTAAAAGGAAAACATTTAAGTGGAACGTGTAACATTTTTAACCACTTGAGGGAGCTCCTTCATTTATCCATCAGGATGTTCCCATTCTGCTTACACATTGCGAAATTCTAAACCACACTTTTAAACAGCTTATTATAGGATTTGCTGAAATACATGAAAGCACTGAGGCTCTCAAGTGACTGACTTTAAAGCCCAGATAGAAGCTTTAAAGGAATTAATCATTTTCGTCAATAAATGAGGGCATCAGAAACAGCCACAGCTACTCACTCCCTGGGCTGTCACCAAACATTTTAAAATAGAAAATAAATTAGAATTACACAGAATTAAAAGTAGGCAGCTTTAATCACATCTATTTTGCAACAGTGCCAAAAATAACTGGAAGGAACAGGACCAGGCACGGAAATAAAGAGAAGGAAATTAAAAATCATAAAATCATAGAATAGCCTGAGTTGGAAGGAACCTACGAGGATCATTGTGAAAACTCCTGGTCATCCACAAAAATCACAGCCTCAAAAATCACACAAAGATTGTGTGAAAAAGAGCATTTTCCAAAGAAAAAGAAGGAAAGAAAGAAAGGAGGGGATAAAAGCAGCACTCTCAAAGTCACATTGTTGCCTGGCACTGGGAAGATTGAAAGCCCAGTGAAGTTGAGACAAAAACTGGGGAGTCAGATTCCCACACATTCCCACGTCAACAATGGGAACGACCACGCGGTGATTCAGCCAGGAGTGCTCAGGAACAGCTGTGGTTGGGCAATCGTTGAGCAACACAACTCATAGGATTAATGTACAACACTCCAGAAAATCAAGATTACAAGCACCCTGGTGACAAGCAGGGTAAATGATGCAGCTGATGAAACAGGGAAGACAACAGCAGATGATGGGCATGAGTGACAGGAAGCAGAAGTGGCAGTGCCTTCTTCCAATTGCTTCTGTAAATATTGGGAAGGAAGGTAAGGAGAGCGGCCGCTTTGCTTTTCAGCCTCGGTGAGCTGCAAGGTAAACAGCCTCTAAACAGAAGGGAAGGTGGGCTGTGGAACAGCTCTGCCAGGGAAAAACCCAGAGGCCAGGGAGGGAGCTCAGTGCCCCGTCACACTGCGCTACTTTGGCCTGGAAGGTTTGTCAAAAGGTGTTGGTCAAATCTGGTGGCCCCTCTCCACAGCCTCCTTATGGCAAAATGAGCAAAGCAAACCAGCTCTGAAGGTTAGCTGCACTTGTCTTTCTCCTTTTCCTGCCACCCAGAGTTAGGCTTTTACTCACTGGATAAAAGTGTCATCAATTTGTTGAACTTCAGGAAAACTTTTGCACATGGGGATTTGGGGTTTTGGTTTGTTTTTTTTTTTTACTTTTCCACTTGCTCCCCAGCTGATGCTGGAACCCAAGGCACTTCACTGTAAATAGTTGGCATAGCATTTTCGTCATAAGGGCACCAGTAGTCACGTATAGCCTGACCCAATAGTATCTCTAAGCAGCACTGTGTTAAAGTTGACTTCTTAAGAACAGGGACAGGTTTATGTGAACATTCCTGCTGCTGCTACCCATGCAGCTATTTGCATTTCAGCAATTATAGGGTTCTTTTAATTTTTACAAGTTTTCCTATTAAGCAGCATGAAAGATGGGTGATGGGATAATAACGTGAACACACATTGCAAACTAAATCAGGTTCAGACTTTTTCATTCAGTGGCTCTACTCAGAATCCCAAGAGATAGTACAAAACAGCTTCTGAAAGTTCCAGCAGTTACAGATTTAAAAGTGTGTCTTGGGTGCATGTTGATCAAAACAAATTTTAATAACAGGTCTGATAAGTGAAATGCAACAGAAATGTTTTAATACCACATTGTAGCTTTGTACCTCAGTTTGGGATGACCTTTCAAGGTGCACCTGGGAACATATTGTGCACAGCACAGCCCTGAAATCATGAGGAGGAGGAGAGACGTGTACTTGGAGTAGGAGATTAGTGGCTTAGTTCTCCTGTCTTTAGGAAAACTTTCCCATTTGCAGCGTGAAATGCAGCTCCCGGGAGGTTACTAGAGTTTGTTTGCTGGTGACGTGTTCTGTGACTCACTGCCCGTCACGAGCCTGTGTCTGACTGAGGAGACAGAGAGAAGAGAGGTACAAACCCCAACCTTTCACACAGTTTTTGACCCTCCTGAGCACATCTGAGACTGGAGGGAGAACTGTCCAGCCAGGCCCCTGCTCGGCTCCCCCAAACGCACAAGCTGCAGCTCCCACTCCCCGGGGTAACCCTTGTGAGGGGGAGCGCTCCCTTGCCACAAATTCCCACTTCTTGGGGGACTGGGGGTGCTGTTGAAGTTGGGGGGCACTCCACTTCTACTTCCCTGTAAAAATACCAACCCTGGCTCCCATTTGGAAGAACCTCCCTGGGGAGGACATTTTGAGCCCGGGTGTTGCGGGGAGCACTTGTTGAGCAACCCTCGTGTTACTGCTGAAGGACAAGCACAGATAACACAGTCGGGCCCTGCTGGCCTTGGCTGAGGTGTCCTCCCAGGGCCTTGAAATATATTCTCCTTGTGCCAGGGTGTGGGGAGCAGGGGGGCCTGAGGGCAAGGGCAGACACTGCCTGTAGGGGTGACTGAGCCCAGCCTTGGGCTGGGTGGGCACGGCTGTCCCACATCCCAGTTGGTCCCAGCGGCTGGACTGACACAGCTGGATCGACAGCTGGAACCGGGACTGACATCCCATCAATTGGATTGACTCGCTGGAACTAGGACTGACTGACATTCTCTCAGCTGGATTGACACTGGAACCAGGACTGGTGATCTCTTTTTCTTTCCTTCCTTCTTTCCCTTCCTTCCTTCCTTTCCTTCCTTTTCTCCTCTCTTTCCTTCCTTTCCTCCCTTCCTTCCTTTCCCTTCTTCCTTCCTTTCCTTCCTCTTCAATTAATCTCTTCCTCTCTCTCTTACCTTTCACCCTACCCCTTTATCCAGAACCCACTGCCGTGTGCTTGCATAGCAGCTCAGGGGCCAACTGACCGATTTCCACGCCAAGTGTATAACTCACCAGTAAAACTTTCTGACTGTTTTCTGACTCTGACTCTTGTCGCTCCTTTTGAGCATCTGCCAGCCTTGGGTGCTGCCCTCCCTTGAGGGTGGGTCTCCACATTTCTTGGCATTATCCCCCGCCTCAGATCTCGGGGAGAAGGCGGCGATCTCTGAGGGGATGGGGGGGGGGTGAGGGGGTCGCTCCCCCACGTGCACCTCACGTGCCGCGCCCCCCGCCCCGCCCCTCCCACGCGAAGCCGCCTCCTCGGCCAATGGGCGGTGCCGCCGCTCGCCCCGCCCCCTGCGCCGTGACGTGCGCGGGCCCCGGGAAGAGGCCCCGGCGGAGGAGGCGGGAAGGGGGCCGGGAAGAGCGGAGCGGAGCAGGGAAGGCACCGGCCCCGCCGTCCCTGAGGTGATGCACCGCGGGGGGAGGGCGGCCCTGGCGGCGGCCACAGCACCGGCTCCGCGCCGTCCTTCCCCGCCCCCGGCGGCTCCCGGAGCTGTGCGGGGTTGGCGCTCGGGGGAGGCGGGTGTGTGCGGGGAGTTCGCGGGGCAGGAGCTGGCTCGGGGCCCGGGCAGCGCGTCAGGCGGGTCCCATCGATATCCGCAGGTTTAGGGTGGGTTTTTTCCTGTCGAGTGTTTTGCGGGCGAGCTGGGGGTGTCCTTAACTTTGCCCCGGTCCCTGCCTGGATCGCGGGCAGCTCTGCCGCGACCGAGGGTCTGCGAGTCAATGTTATACCCCAGGGTCAAGGGCCGAAGGAAAACTTTGTGGGTCTGAATGGTCTTTGGAATAAGGTTGTTATTGAGTGTGTTCGGTGTTGGAGGCAGAGCGTTGGAACTGGGTGATCTTTCAGGCCCCTTCCAGCCCAAACCATTCCGTGATTCTTGGCTGTTCCTCACCGAGCCTTTTGAAATGCAAAGATGAACTTCCCACAGGGTGTTGCTTTTCTCCCTAGGCATCTTATAATTAATTACCGTATTTCGAAAGGCAAGAATTAGAAGCTCAAGGTTTGAGAGCCCTTTCCGAGTACAGTAACGCAGTCGTGCCTGTAAAATCAGGGCATTCCTGGTGGGAAATCTGTTAATGGGTTTGTGGTTCTGGAAACCTACAGCTATAGTTGCGGTTGTGGATGTCCTACAAGTGCTCGGAGTGGGGTGGAGTGACTGTTAACTAATTGTGAGGAGCAATTTCCTCTTATTGAGGAGATGAACATCTGGAGTTATCCTGGCATTGTGTCATGAATGATTCAGTTCTAGCAGAGATTAGAGGAAAGGTCTGATGCCCTCTTTAGGATCTGATGTGCTGATAGTTGCTTAGGTACTATAAAGTTACACCTCCATTTATATGGGAAGTAGACTGGGAAACTGTCTGTTTTCATAGATTTTTCTCTAGCAGAGTTCTTGTTTTGGTGTGAAAAAGGCTTTGTTGTCGTCACTTAGCCTATCTGAATTAATAACTTCAAGTTGCTTAACTTTTTTCTTCCCCCCACGTGATTTTTCCTTCTCCTATCCTGAAATCTGTTATTTTTTTAACTCCTTTCTGTTAACCTTTCAGTGAAATACTGTAACCACCCTGTGCTTCCTCACCTCTTGAAGAAGACGAAAAGTGTGCTGAGAAAAGAATTAAAGTTGTGGTCCCCTGTTAGAGCTGGAAAACCTGCACCTGTAAGGATCAGGAGGCAGTGAGAGGCTCCGGGTGGCCCAAGGAGTAGCTTGTTGGTGCATGAATTTGGAAGGCAGCTCGATTGGCCCATCCACTACTCTGCAGATCCTGTTCCGTGATCAGAGTGATCCGTTCTTACCCTGCGATAGGGGTTTGGGCATCTCTGTTGTGTAAGAACACACAGCTTGGCATGTTCAGCTGCCTAGTTGTAAGTCCCAGGTGGGCAGAATGATTCTTTGCTCCAACATGATGCAGCTGTGTCTGTACTTGGAACCTTGTGGGAAGCCTGGGAAGTGTGAAGAGTCAGGTATTCCTGATGGGGACTGATTCACTTTTAAAAGCAGGGGGTTTGCAGCAGTAACTTGTAAAGAGCTGGTAGGAAGTGGGTATGACCTGGCAGCTGCCTTTTGGGGCTGGTGAAGACAGTTACTGTAGGAAGATTTGCCACATTCTTGTCTGGTTCTTTCTGTTCTTTGTGTAAACTGTTTGCATTATGTAAATGATGACAAGGTGAGCTCTCAGGTGGTGTGCAGAGCCAGCTCTGCAGCTTGTGGGCAGCTTGAGACCTCTTGAGACACAGCTGACAGGGGCAGTGCTGCAAGAAATGGTGATTGAATTAGTGACTTTGATTGGTGGTGGTGTTTCTCCCCTGTGTGCTGTGAGGCCTGCAAGGAGAATGGAAAGACTGTTCTACTAGAGGGACAAACACAGGAAGCCGAGTCCTGGAAACCTCTGATCATAGTCTTATTTCCTGTTTGCAGAAGTGCCATGCTCTGTATTCTGAGGAAATCCATGCTGAAACAATTCATTTTTTCACAAGTGCATGAGTTTTCCTTGCCTGCCTGTAACAGCTCCTCTGTACTGGTGCACGTACACTGTTCACCAGCAGCCAAACACATCTGCTGCAGAGTTTGTGCCAAGGTGAAAAAATGCATTGAGTTTGGAAATGTAGTCACATACATGCCTGTGTGGTTTTCTGGAAAAAAATCTGAACATTTCCCTACATCTCCAAGAGATTCTTGAGCTGAATTTTCATGTGGAGTGTCCTGGGATGTCACTTGGTAACCAAAGTAGAATCTCTTTGTGCCCTTCTTGTTAACTGATAATTTTGTTTTCATCCTGCTTGCAGTGCTTCAGGTGTTCCCTGCTGGCAGCTCTGTCCCCAGCAGTGACCTTTGTCATCCAATCTGGTGTAGTTCAAACCTGATTCTCTTCCCGTTTCCCTGTGGTTTGCGTTGTCTGTCCAAGCAGAGCGCAAGGATCCACTGAGGAAGCTGCTCTTGCAATAACAACTGAAAACTTCACAGGAAGGTGCTTGGCTCAGGCAAAATCTTGCTGGTGATTCGGCAAAGCAAACCTGCCAGATCTCTCAGAAGGCAAGTCTTGCTGTCCAGCTGACAGTCAGAAAGGATTTGCTTTTTGGTCTTTTAAAGGTTTTGCAAGGCTTAAGTTACTGTAAACACTTCTAAGGTCTGCAGGGAGAAGGGGAAGCTGTGGGGAGACGTTTAGGTAGAGGTGGGGGAACTTGCTTGGTTACTTTGTTCCTTTACTGCTTGTAGTAAGGCAGAGGAAGTGGGATCCACAGGCACTGACTCACACGAGTGTGCTGAATTTCCTCTATCTTTGCTCTGAATTTGTAGTGGAGGGAAGAAACTCAGTGTGCAAAAGGCTATATGAATTTACTACTGAACAATGTAAAGAGTTAATGAGTTTCTTCTGTCATTAATTATCTGCTCTCCTTTTCTGGCCTAGCTGGGTAACCATGGCAGGTGACGACTGTGTGAGGAAACGCCAGTCTGGCTCCACTGCACCCTGCAAGACCCTTGAGAGTGAAGAAACACAGAGGAGACCTGAGAGCGAGAGGCTGTTTCAAAACTCAAGCAATGGTGAGATCACTGCTTTGGGACCAGCTGGACCTCTGGCACATGATCTCTAAGGTGTCCTTCCTAGCTCATGGCTCTGGCCTCTTTGCTCCTTCATTTTGTTTTTTCCCTCTCTGGTGGAGCTCCCTGTGTAGCAGCTGCACCCCTTCAGCAGGTGTGGGTTGTTTGGAGTGCTGACCTGCAGAACTTTCCCTAGGGAGCTGTGCTGCAGTGCTTACTGAAAAAGTGATTAATTGTCAGAGGAGGAGGAGATGCATTAATGCTGTAAGTGGTGCAAATGTCTCTTGGCAGCACTTTTGAGTAATCCTGGTAAATGTTTTTTCTGGGACTTCATCTCACTTCCTTTACAAGCTTTAAGTACAAGACTTCTCAGGATTAAACATCATGGTGTTTAACATACCTGACAGACAGGTGGAGGTGGGATGGCACATGGAATGATTCTCTGCTCCTCTGGGGTTCTGGTGGTGTCAGGACTGCTCCCTTCTATCCAGTCTCAACCTGGGCTGCCAGAAAACAGAACAATAAATGGTTGGGTTTATATTCATTTGTTTTGTGGTCACCTTAAGAGTTATGTGGCTTGTAGCTGGCTTTGTGGAAGGGTCAGTGCTGCCATGCCCTGTCCCTTGGGTTGAAGGGACAATTGTGTGGCACAGTGAGTGGTTTTGCCTGTGGACTCTGTGACTGTCTGTAATTCCTGGTTTATGCTGTACCACATTCTGGCCCAGTGGTCAGCAATGAAACTGCATATTGTTTCCTTTCTCTTTGGGACACAGATTAAGCAAATAGCTAAAGTAGTTTATCACAATGTGCCATGTGAGTATAAGCTCCAAAACACTGATGCCACTAACTCAAGGAGATAATTCTTACTGATATGCTTCTGAATATTGTCACTATTTCATAGTACTCTTTTCAGCTGAAACGGGAATTGGAGCAAGTTTAAGTTTAGGACAAGTTAGATTTGTTTTTGCAAAAAATACATTGGAGAGACAGTCATCCCACAAACTGCTTGGAGAACTGGGATTTTAAGCTGATGGTAGTACAGTAATTTTAACTGGGTCTGTCAAATGGGACTGTCTTGGAAAATTGCAGGGAGTTGGTGGCTACTGAAAAACAGTCATGATGGGTTTAGGAGTAGACTAGTACCTTTTTAACCTCTTTTATGTATGGGAACTCCTTAACTGTTATGAATGAATTTGAGTTCTTGCAAGGTTTTGGATGAGCAATAAATATAGCAGTGATAATTAGTGCTTAATAGGTAGGTGTGCCTGTCTTTAAAGGTCTTTCCTTTCAGCACCTCTGAGATGTGGCAAAACATCACTGAAGGTGAGATGCTGTGAGTGTGGAGCAAGTAAACATCCTGGGGTGGATCTTCTGAAAGTGTACTGAGCCTTCCTGTGTGTCCCTGTGCCTGCTGGGTTGGCTTGGAACAGTACAGTGTGCATTTTTAATCCTGTACAAATTGTAGTGAAGGACAGCAGGGAGGAATCCTGGTTAGTTAAGACCAGGTGCATCTTGCCTGCCTACGTTGCTGCCGGTTGAGCAGAGGTGTCAAAAGTGCCAGTGGTTTCTGTAGACTCTTTGCTCAGCACAGTGATGGGGACAAACACAGGGAGGTAGGAGGCATGAGTCTGATACCTTGAGGCATGGGAGGAAGATGCATCCCTCTGGTCAGGAGTTCCTCTGTACCATGGGGTTAAATCAGCATCTCTGTGACCCAAACGTTGCAGCTTTATGAAGTTGAAGTGTTCACGTGTTGCATATAGTGGCCCTTTCTGTGAAAGCACAGCTGAGGTGGGAGGAATTTCTCCAAAGCAGCAGCCATAGATGTTTTTCCTCCTTCTTTTGTCCTGGCTCTTCAGTGTGAATGGCTGTTTCTAAGGCATTAGTGCTGATATGTACAAAGGCATTGTGAGGTTAATGATCTGCGAGTCTGGCAACAGCCTTTTTGTGCTGTAGCATCTTAACGCTGGGTGTTGAGGAGAATTTTACACAAGATGCATGTTGCAGTCAAGGGATTCCAACCAGGTCAAGAATCTATGCATGTGAATATTGGAGCATCTTTGTAGCAGTTACTTCTGTAGAAAAGCTAAATCACTGCCGTGATTACCCACCCTTGATCCTCTCTGATTATAGCAAGCACAATCTGCTTTTTAACTGAGGAGTTCATGTGTCAAGGGCCCATTGACTCGTTTCCAGAAGTGTGTGAACTTTCTACAGAAACTTCTGGACCTCTAACCCTTTCTTCATTAACTCAAATGCTTTGGCTGATACTAAATTGCTTAGAGGAATAATTTTAATGCATGTATTGGCTTTAGAGCTACGTTAGGTCTGACTCTCCATTGGTATAGTTGAGGTTACTTTTTCTCTTGCCTCATCATTCTGCAGGCTGTCTCCTTGCTTGGCTTCCAGGAGTGAAGAGTTTGCACTCAGGTACACCCAATTTTATAGCAGTATTGTTTCTATTTTGTAATTAGTCAGCCTGTAATTTCACTTCGACAGAGTAGCTGAATGTCAGTCTGATATATCACTTCTTGAATTGGCTCCAGTGTTGTAATTAAACAACTAATTTGGGCCTGGCATAGAGTCAGCAGATGATCTGGGTGGCAATAATCCCCTCTCAAAAGCCAGATCTCCTTAATAAGATTAGTCTTATATGTTTTCAGCTGGAGATACATAAATACAGAACTGTTCTGCCTAATGGGATATTGGTATCAGGCAGTACTGGTTGGACGAAAACTCACCTGGAAGGAGCAGAATAGAAACTGCATGGGTAGATTTAAAAGGTTAGAGAGGACAGGGATCCTAAGTGTGCGTCTGAGTTCTCTGAAAGGCTCAGATTAGTCATTCAGAACAGTAAAATGGTGGTTTTGGGGTCTGTCCTTGTTTCCCCAGAAATCAGGAAAGGATTAGAAGCGTCTCTGGGGGCTGACCTGCAAACAAGCAATGTGGCATATCTGTTTGGTGTGAGTAAGGCTTTTGGTAGTGCTGATCTTAGAAAGGGGTTATCTGCCAGTGGAGAGGTTACTGTCGATCATTCTCGGTGCAAAAGGTCATGGTGATGCACGAGTTGCATGTGGCCACTGATGGAGGAGGAGGAGGGAGCTCTCAGAGAGCAATTTGGAAAGCTTTAGGCTTTGCTGTCTGACTCACAGTAGTAAGTGTTCAGTGTATGAACAGGCTTTTTCTTGCAGGTTAATGGATTTGGGATTAAGCTGCTTGAATTGACCGTCTTGGATGTGTTTCTGAGATGGATCAAACAGAGCTGTTTTGTCTCACTGGGTTCTGGCAATTTTGTTCTCTTGTGTTTTGGAGCCTGTGGGTTAGGTGAAGGCTCAGCAGTTTTTTCTGAAGAGCCTGTGGACATGGTAGCATGATATAGAGAATGCAGGTGTTTCTTCCTGCTAGTGAAGAGGCTATTTGTGTCCCCTGTACCTTCAGAAGTGACTTTTAAAGCTCATTATCTCATCCAGCTGCAGTGCAGTGTCCTATGGCCTGTGCATTCTTTTAAACAGGTCAGCTGAGTCTAACATTAACTTGCCTCTATCTGCTGAGTGGCCAAATAAACTACCATAATTAAGAATAAGGCTCATTAGCATCAAATTATTAATCTGTGTTGTACCAGATATGGAACTCCTCCCCTCTTCACAGTAGCCTTGCACTAGGCTGGCTTTAACACTGCCTCGCTTCGGAAAACATCTTGAGTGTTTTTGGAGAGGGAGCCTTTTAGTCCAGGTGTCAGCAATGAAATCCTTCTGCCTATGTTGCTTGAACCTCTTGAATGGTCGGTTTCCTATCAAGAAATAAGTTGTTTTTTTGTTGGATCCCAAGCTGCTGTACCAGTAAATCATAGGAATGGTTTGCTGCTCTAGTCATCTCAGCTGTCACTTAGATCTGTAACGTGCAAGAGTGGGTTGGGGACAACGAGATCCTTTAGGAAAGGTAGTTAGTCAATCTTTTGTGAAACCTGAGTTGCTCAACTTCTCAACAATTAAGAAGCTTTCTCAATCTTCAGGTGATTTTTATTAGCCTGGTTTCCTATGGAAACAAAGTTTACATTCACATTGCTCATTTGTTTTTTCTTCTGACTTTTGAACCTACTTGAAATTTGGGCCGTACAGAGGAGTCAGTCCTACAAGCACTGGTTTCTAGAAGCCCAAGACAAGTGGTCAGCTAATAATCTTGTTAATGTCCTTGCTGGTGGGAAGGCAACAAAACTGCTGTTAGAGCTTCTCCCTGTGAGCAGAGCTCTTCCAAAGCAAACTCTGTTTCAGTGTCCTGTGAAATTGGCCGCGATTCTATACGAGTCTTCAAAGACAACATTTTTATCACTTTAAACATATTTCCTGTTTTCTTAAGGCACATCTCAACTTCAAATGCAGAGATGTGCTTGCTTGTATTGTGCAGCCTTGAGTCCATTTTTATAATGCTGTTGCAATCCCAAAGTGATACAGAGGGATCCAGTCTTTGTTTTCAGGGTCAAAAGAAAGTGAAGATGTAGATTCTTTAGCAGTGCACATTTCCTTTTAGACTCAAAATCATGTGATGAATCTCTTCTCCAGTGACCTCACAGAACATGAGTGGCAGCTTGCACAACAGGATGAGTAATTAAAGATGATGAGTTTGTATGTTCTCTGGTATCTGCCTTGTGACACAGTTGAGTTTATGGGGCAGTGCAACACAGCACAGTGAGTTGGTCTGGAGTTGGTTTTCTTCTATGGGAGATCTTATTCTGGAAAAGATGTGACAAGCTCATGAGGAATTTTTCCTTTGTTATATGAGATGCTTATACTGAAGACAGATTTTGATTTCAAAACCTTTTAAAAGATGCTGTGTTTCTAGTCTATTCTGTGGTTAAAATAAAGTGTCAGCAGGGACACTGCACACAGTTTAGCTGTTACAGCATCAGTAGGTCAGAGACTGGCCTTGTTTCCTGTGCAACCATTAAAGCTGTACATTTGATATAGGTAAAACTCCATCCATCTTTAAGGCCTTGTAAGTCAAAAAGGGTGTTTTATTAGCAAATACTATGCCTGGGTAATTATAATAACTGAGGCTTCAAATGCAAGATCTGACAGGAAATACATGGCCAAAGCAGTGGTTGTTTTATTTTTAGCTTAGCTTACAAAGGAAACAGTGCAATCCCCTAAGTCTCACATGTCCTCTTTGGCCATGTTGGGTGGCTTCAAGAAAACTTGGTAAGAGTCTTGAGAATTGGCAGCTGGATAAGAGACACAAATTCTTAAATTTTTACAGGGAAAGGTTCATTAAACTCAGCAGCTCTGTCTGATCTAGCAGGTCAGCAGGAGCTGGTTCTTCACACAGGAGTAATGGGAGGAGAGGACAATTGTGGAGTGATGTGGTGAGGGAGTAGAGTCACTGAGATGATATGGAGGGGATACAGTTCTGCTGCTCGTGGAATAACTTGATTTTTTTTAATTTTCTTTTTGTTTTTAAATTTATTGGGTGTGAATCCATTTAAGACCAGCAAAGTGCAGGAACTAAGTGGGTCAAGGGTATCTTAAATTTCTCTCTGTTTGTTTTCCAAACTGCTGTTGTTCAGTAAGTGTAACAGCATGATGAGTTTAAGTGCTGAGATAATTTTTTTTCTTTTGTCTGGAAGGTAGAGATGCTTAGCAACTGGGAATTCTATTTTTGGAAAAATATATCTTTACATGCAGCCAAAATTTGTGGTGTTAAGCAGTTTCCTTGTTTGTTGTTACATTAGAGGGCTGCTAAGTAATGGGCAGTTGTTGTTCTTTAGACTATATCTTGTGTAGTACTTTTTATAGAGAAAAAACAGTTTTCTTGCCTGATTACTGGGAAGGGGAATTAATGCTAACAATTGAGCACAGCTGCATGAGGGTAAAGCCTCTTGTTTTGTTTAACTCTTCTCCAGTATTGAAATTGGGGTCGTTTCTGAAGCAGGTCTACCTAAACCACTTACAAGCAGTTGCTCAAAACAGTTGCTCAGAAGAGCACCCTGAGAAGGGTGAGCATCACAGAAACACTTGTGTCAATGAAAATGGAACTGCATTTTGTGTGCAGGGGCTGTGCCCATGCCAGGAGGTCAAGACAAGGAGGCCACGTTTAGGCACTGTGATAGTGCATGAATCTGTCTCCCTGCCACACAGCAGCACAACTTCAGCACCCCTTCAGCAAATCTGTTAGCTCGGGCTTCCCTGGACTCTTATTAGGGAATCAGTTCAGTAACTTCTTTTTCTAGAAGTGGGAATGTTGTCTTAGAAACAAGCTGTAATCCCGGCTGTGTGTCCGTGTGAGGTGTTGCTGTAGCTATAATTGCCAAAGGATATGCACAAGGCAAGCTTTGTTGCAGTCTTTGCACCCTGAGTAGTATTTTAGGGGGTTGGAAACTGCTGCTTTAGTCTTGCTTTTCCTCCACATGCAAGACTCTGTTTTTAGTAACTTTATCTTCTGTGTTGTTCTTACTGGAGAAGGGAACCCCGACTAGTCCAAAATGTCTGATCTGTGGGAGTTGCTCCTCTTGATGTAATAGAGGCATCTCAGATGGGTAGAGTTCTTTATGCCAAAGAAAAGTGATATTTGAGGCTTTACCCATATTAGTAATGATAAAAGTCAGATGACACTGATGGCACGTTTGCTTAAGGGGTGAAACACTGAGGAATACAGTCATACTAATACCTAACACTTCTCCTGGGGGATGAAGGGCGTGGGAATAGCCAGAATAATCTTCTGACTTGCCATTCAGCCTGTTTTAGAGCTGATCACAGTATTTCACTGATAGCCATGCCTTGACTGCCTTGTCTGTTGGCAACGTAGAGACCTCCAGACAAACTAACCTTAGTCTGGTGTAAGATAAAGCTCTGATAAAAGATCAGCACACTTGGATATGACCTTCTAAGGGTTGCTCTGATTGCTGCTTCAAGGCTGAATGTGTTTAGAGACCTTGGGAAGATTTGCAGTGTTGCTGATGGAAAATAAAGCTTTCAAATACCCAGCATGTTATCAGCTGTTGACTGCCTGACAGTTCTGGGATCCTAAAACACTTGGTTGTAGCTTATGAAGTTCCTGCAGCTTTGATTTGAGCTTAGTGGGACCTTATTAGAAGTCAGAAATACTGTTGAAAAGTTGGTGTCTGAGCTACTATATGTTGTGCTTTCTGTGTTTTCAGACATGCAGCTAAAATTGCAAGTGTTAAATGTTTGCTTTCCTTCTTCAGGCCGTGTTGATGTCGACCACGTGATAACAAGGAAAATGCAGCTAATAGCAGAAGCTGAGGTAAATATAATCCTTGCTTGTGGGGTGGAGCAGCATGACTGACCCTCAGTGTCTTTTGGAGAGTCACTAACCCAGGAGCACAAATATCCCTGTACAGTCCTAGTTTGGGTGCAGTGACTTTTCCACAGTCCTCTTTCTCTCACCCACTTGGCACAGGAGGGGTAGTGTTTATCAGATGTGGTTCTGTCTTCCTTGACCCCAATAGGTTGAAGTCCAGAGATAAGAATGAACTTTGAGACCTGTAAATAAAATGAAACTTCCCTTACCTCGAACTTCTGGCAATGTGATTATTAGCCAGCCTGCCTGCATATTTGGAATGCTCTGTGTCCTGCTATCCACTGAATAAAGGGTAACAACACAGAGCCTGTATCCCACAACTTCTGTTGCCCTGGCTGTGGAGATGGCCTTCCTGAGCCTTGGAAGCTCTCACTTTTTGTGAGGGAACAATATCCTTAAAGAAAATAGCACCAGGTGTTTCTGACATCATCTGCATCTGTGTGAGCTGCCATTGTCTTAGATTATATTAAGGTGATTTATGCTCAAATTAAATGAAGTTGGCCAACAATGAGCTGCACCCTCCTTGTTAACCATTGTTTTGTGGCACCCGTGTTCCTCAGGGCGAATCGTCCTGCACTCTTGCATCATTTTATTGCAGAGAATTCCGTGGTAAAGATGAAGTAATCTCATTGTTCCAGCTTTTTCTGAATAGTAGGGAGTGGATACTTATAGAGAAAAACACCTTGCACCTTTGAGATGTTCTCCTGTCTTTTTTTTTTCTACCTCTGTGGGTGGTAATTTATAACAGGTGTAACAGGTAATTTATAACAGGTGTGAAGAGTATTTAAATGTCGTCTGCAAAGGGTGCTTTTTGTGCTGAAACTGCTAAAATCCAAGCCATCAGAGGGATAATCAGCTCGGAATTTTATTTTGTATGTTGTGCTCTCCTGTTTATCCTTACTGAGGACATGGGAGATCAAGCCTTACAACTTTTCTCTGCAGACAAAACAGCCAGTGTTAATCACCGTGCTGGCAATGGGTGTTTGCAGGAGAAAGCTTGCACTGTTAAGCACACGAAGCTTTGAAAGTTCCAGGGAGCAAGGGGACAACTTGATCTTGGATTTCTTTCTTCAGGAGTGTTCCTTATTTATTTATTCTTTTTTTCCTTTTTTTTTTTTTTTCCTGGCCACAAGTTTGGAGACACACTAGTTTGCAGACAGAGTGATCTCTTATTTGCAAAGAGAATCCTAAAAAAACAGTGGGTCAGTGGTGCTTTAATTAAAATATTTGATTGCTGAAGTTTGTCCCAAAACACGGGGAGTTCAGGTTTTAAGCCCTGACTTAGGCAGCTTGTAGATTTTATTTAAGGTGCCTCAAAGCTACAGTAATAGATAGAAGGCTGAGGAAAAAACCCACCTACTGCAAAATACCTGAGAATTGCTCGAGTGCCAGGCCCTTTTGTTGTGTGACAAAAGCTGGACAAGGGCTTGGATTGCAGTTCATCTGTTCTGTGATGGGTGTCTGAGGTCTAGGCAGGTGCTTGGCTTGTGAAAAGCCTGGGCACTGACAACTCCACAGATAGAAATAGGATTTGTAGGAGCTGGAACTCGTGCCTAAGGAGGCCTTCAGGCACCTTCAGTCCTGTCTGGAAGCTGTTGTCACGTCTCAGTGACCAAAATCACTAAACCTGTCAGAATGAGTAAAATGCTGGGGAACTGTTGCAACTTTAAACCACAGGGTTACTTCCCTCAACTTTCTCTGACTTCTCATCAACTATTGGCCAGCTTCTGCTTTTTATGGCATAGCATTCTTTTCGTGCTTGTTGGTTTGTAATTACAGTTACTGTCGGGTCTCTACTCTGGTTGTATTTTATTTAATCTATGGAGAACTCACGCCCTGCTCTCCCAGTCCAAATACCTGCACGTGTTGGTATCAGCCCTGGAGGAGGCAATCCCAGAGTGCCAGCTAAGGGGAAGAGGTTCTTCAGGGAAATACCACGTTAAACTCCCATTGAGAAGAGATTAGGCTGAAAAAAAAGTGGAGACACTGTAAAGAAAAAAAAAAAGACACTGTTTTGGTGGGAATGAATAGTGCTTTGTTTGGCATAGAAATTTGAGCCCTCCAAGAGGAGCAGGAATTTCGCTTTGGCGTTTTTGGTGGGGGTATGTGTGTGCATGCTGTAAAACTAGAGAGCACAAGTGGCTTCTGTTACAGGTTGTATTCCCAAGTACTCAATATTTGGGGTTTTTCCTCCTGTTTGTAAAGGAACAAGTCCATGTCTTTTGCAGAGACAACCCTCTGCCTCCCAGAAAAGCAATATCTAAGAGTAGCCAGATTCTAAGAGCTTCTGTTTTGTTAAGCACTGGTGAAACTTATTTATTCTATACTGGAAGTTGCCAAATAGGGGAAAAATGTTTTTTGAAGTTAAATATAAATCTGCTCCTTCTCCTACTGCAGCTTTTGTTTCAAGAGATCTCTCTGGATCTGACTACAATGGAACAGGAGGAATGTAGAGTTCTGATCCACCTTGACTTCAGGGTCTCCTGGTTTGATGTGGGCTTACTTCAGATTGTCCTGGGGTTTCTGTCAGGGAGTTAAACTTGCTTTCTTGGCTGTTGCATTAGGCAGGAGGATTTTGTAAGAATACATCAACTGTTCATGTATTTTATAGAATTATGGAATGGTTTGGGTTGGAAGGGACCTTAAAGACCATCTTGTTTCAGCCCCCCTGCCCCGGGCAGGGACACCTCCCACTATCCCAGGTTGCTCCAAGCCCCATCCAGCCTGGCCTTGAACACTTCCAGGGATGGGGCAGCCATAATCATTCTGTGCCAGTGTCTCAACACCCTCCCAGGGAAGAACTTCTTCCTACTGTCTAACCTAAATTTCCCTCCTTTCAATTTGTACCCATTCCCTGCTGTCCTGTCACTACAGTTCCTGAGGAAGATTCCCTCTCTGGCTTCCCTGTAGCTGCTTCAGATCCTGGAAGGTTGCCCTGAAGTCTCCCTAGAGCTTCTCTTTTCCAGAAACTTTACTTTTCAACCTTATGAGAGAGTAGATGGGAGTGGGGAGTTCTGAAGGTGATCAGAGAAACACAAGTGTTTCTTAAGGCAGCTTGAGCAGTGAGAAAATGAGATGAAATAATAAGTAGTTATCATGTAGGAAGACTTGGCCCTTGAATCTGGAGGCAAACTGGAAAAATCCCAGGCAAAGGATGGTCAGATAAATGTGGCTATTAGACACTTGTATAAAGGAAACCCCACACAATATGCAAATTATGTTTGAAATAAGTCATAAGAATAACTCTTAAACCACTTTGCAAATCTCAGGGTCCTCTCTGCATGTCATAAGAGAATTTGTATCACAACAAAGCAATCCAGAGCTCAGTGCAGCACTTTGTGTAGAAATAAGTAACTCGGAACATTTTATCCTTAAGTTTCTCTTAAATGCGTCAAGTTTTAAAAAAACTGCATGGGGTATGGGAGGTCAGGTCTTTAAAAGTACATGTTATGAGACTGAATAGCAGATTGGCCTATATTGCAGACAGGAATTAATTACACATACTAAATTCAGGCAGGACAAAAGGGATATGAAAACATCTTGGCATTTTTCAGTCTGCCTTTTGAAGAGAAATTATAGCCCTTGTCTGTATAACTTATTATTTGGAGGGTTAAATAATGTTTTTCTTTCTAGAAATGAAACTCTTTATCAGGTGAAGCAAGCAGGCTTTGACCAGAGTGGCCTGTGCTTTATCCACAGCTGATTAGCTCCCTTTTTTTTTTCTTTTTTTTTTTTTGCACTGTATCCATGCACTTTGCCAAAAAGTTGTTAAAGGAGATGCTTATCTATGGTTTTTCATGCACCTGAAGAAGCCAAAGTCTCTGGTGAACCAGATACTTCAGAAGTTGCCTTTGCCTGTTAAAATGAGAGATGAAGAATATGAATAGGCTATAAATGGTGCAGCTGTGACATAACTGGCTTTTAATAAACCTGTATAAAGCTGCAAGAAGAAAAGGGAGCGCAGGGGACTCAACTGGGATATTTCATCCCACAAATTCTTGAACTTGTTGGTTCCCAGTTTTGGACACTAAGGATGTGCCTGTGGTTAAAATTGAGGAATGTTTTCTGGGACTCAGGTTTTAAGTTGACGCTATAAAATAGGAGAAACACCTGCCACTGTAGACATATGTATGAAGATCAACATGTTTACTTTGTTTCTCTGTGGTGCATCTGACAGAGAAACAGAGATGTTATTCCAAGTCCTGAGGTGTGTGAACAGGCCAGGATGAGCCCCTGATCTGTTGGCAGGAATGTTTTCTTGATGCCTTGCTCTGTCCTGCTCCGGGATAAGTAGGAATGTAAATATTTTAGGAAAATGTATCCAGCAAGTTAAAGAATTTCATGCTCTATTTTCACTCTGGCAGCAACTGAAGCCAGCTTTCATGAAGGAGGTGGACAGTCACTTCACAGAGTTTGTGAACAGCTTGGTGGCAAAATCGGCGCTCCTGGATTCCTCATCTCCAGCCTCCCTCTTCCCAGCTTCCTGCTCAGAGAAGGAATTGCACAAAGCCAAGTAAGCTTTAAGTTTTAACTGTTCTATAACAAGGCTATGTTTCCTGGAAGCTTTATTTCCCTTTTTGTCTCAAATGTTCTTCTCTTTTTTTTTTTTTTTTTTTGCAGGAACTCGAGGGCCCCTCCAGAACATGGGAAGATCTTTACTGCCAGGAGGTCCCTCTTGGAGTGAGTAACTTAACTTCACATTTTCCATCAAATTGACTGAAAATACCCTTGATAGCAAATTAAAGAGCCTTTGCTTTGGGGTACTTTCCTCATCACCACCCACAGCCTTCCGTTCAATCCTGTGTGGATTAATCTGCTCAAGCCTCTCTGTTTCTTTTATAAAACATCTGTACTACAGCTTGCAGGCTTCCCCAAATGTAACCCTTAATTACAGCCCTCTCAGTCCCACTGGGATAATGGCTAATTATCCTTTGTCTGAGGATATACTGAGGGCTGGCACCCAATTTGTACGTTAATTTTCATCTCTCCCTCAGTGAGCTGTTTGAAGTGAGTCACATCAGGACAATCTACCACATGTTCATCGCTCTCCTCATCGTCTTCATCCTCAGTACACTTCTAGTAGACTTCATTGATGAAGGAAGGTAGGAGTGCTTTGGAGAGTACGTGAAGCTGCAGAATGGTGCAGAAAGAAGGGGGAATCAATCCTTCCTTGATTTCAACTTGACATAGAATGTATGCTGGAATTCCTGTTGAGGGGATAGGATCATTTCAAACTGGATAGCTGGATATTAGGAAAATATTACAAATTGGTGTCCTACATGAGAATTGTGGCCAGCACAGTTTGGCCTGACGTGCTTAGTTCATCACAAGGCTGGCAAAAGAGAACGTGGACTACTTTAGTTGAACATCTCTAATGAGAAGGTGGCTTTCAGCTGCTTGTGTTGCTTGAAGAAGCAACACTGTTTAGAAAAACTTTAAATACTTCAGCAGTCCTTCCTCTGTTGAAAAATGGCAGCTCTGGAACGCTGTTCTTGTGCTTAAATAAAAATAGAACTTTGTTTTTCCTGGGGAAAAATCTCAAGGATGTTGGCACAGCCTCTGCTAAGATAGTGCTTTGCAGGTAGCCAGTTGTGGAAAAAAAATTGTGAAAGACTGCTTTCCTCACACTTGCTTGTTGCTTAAATAATGTTTTGGCAAGCTGTATCTCATGTAAACAAGGAGGATTACATGTTTATCTTGCTGATTATCTACTCTTTGGTGTCTGGGTATAAGAACAGATTCGTGTGCCATTGAATATTTAGCTGATCCTAACTTACTAGTGTATGGACACTGGGGAGAATTGGTATTTACCTCTAAAATCAACCTCTAAAAGCCCTGATTACGTAAAAAAAAATAAATTTAAAAATAATTGCTGTGGCTTTGATCTGATCATTTGGATTCAGTTTGCAGTTGATCTTCCACGTGAGAACAAATACTTTTTGTTGGTGTATTCTGTGCTATCATCTCCTCTGATCTTAGTTTAGAAGAGCTGCTTACTGCAGGAGTAAGCTCTGGTCACTGTGGTAGCCAGTTAAGTTGAACAGCCTTTTCTTTATTGTTCTTATGTATCAAACTTGATTAAAGGACTCGAGTACCTGATGCACAACTGTTGGACATATTTGGACTGACCATCTAATGACCCTGAGCCTTTTGGGTGACTTCTAAACTGACTCCATATGGAATGCCCACGGATCTCACAAAGCAGGATTAAACTAGATTTGAATGGTGCATGTTAAAATACCCCATGCCTGTAGAGGTGGGGAAAAAGCCTCTTTAGGTGTTTAAACTCCTGGGAAGAACTGATTCTCAGTGACTACGTCCTGGGAGTGTTCCTCAAAAGCTCTTTTGGACCCTGGTTCAGCACTGGATCGTTTAGTCACGTGCTTGTTCTTAGCAGGGGTGAGCTTGAGCATATTCTTAAAGCACATGCTGATCTTAGAGTTGTGCTTAATTAAGCCCTGGGGGCTTAATTAATGGGGTTAAAGTGACCATGGCTTGCTATTGCCATGGTCTCTTCCATCCCAGCTGTCAAACAATTATGGTCTGGAAGCTTTGTGTTTGTAGCCACTTAGTGGACTGGGAGTATTTCTAATGAAACAATGGACACTGAATATTGTCTCTCTCCTTGTTCCTTCTAGGCTGGTCCTTGGATTTGATCTCCTGGTCTTTGTTTTTGGAAAGTTCCCAGTTGTCTTTTGTACTTGGCTGTGCATGTTCAGTGCCACAGTTGTCATTCCATACAACCTTTTTGTGTGGTGGGCCCAAGGCTACTGCAGTTCCTCCCGTCGTGGAATCCGCTCGTTCTTCTATGGGATGTTGTTCACGCTCTTCCAAATAGCTGGGCTTGGCTTTGGGCCAACCTATGTTGCTGTAGCCTATGCCCTGCCTCCAGCTTCCCGTTTCATTGTCATACTGGAGCAGGTAAGGCCCTACCCTGCATCTTTGGACATACTGAACTTCATTTTCACAATGGAAAGGGTCCTTCTCCCTAAAGGAGTCAAGTGTTAATTTAATGAATTGTCCTACGTTTGCCAATTAAGCCAGGGCTGTGGTTTGAGTTTGCCTGTGACTTGAGAAAGACTTCATTTTGACCTGGAAACCACTTGTGGGTTTTTACCCTCTATTTAACATTTTACTGTGTTTTTTTTTTTTTACTTCAGGGCTGAAATTCCATTTCTTTCTAGTTGTCTTGAGGATGCTAAATGCTTGAAACAAATTTTAAGAACACACTGTGCCATAGTTCACAAGGAAGCTGTAACACTCCTCTTTAAAAAGCAAACTCCCAAAAAAGCAAGAACACAGTTGTCAAGTGGTTCCTGTTTCCATTTCTGTTCCCAAGAAACAAGTGTCTTTGCTCTGCAGTCAGAACTTTATTGAAAGTGGAACTTTTTTTTTTGGGGGGGGTAGGGGGCAGGGGAAGCAGGGGAAGAGTACAGAAGTGGTCTGGTTAAAACAAGGATGGTCAGAGATGAGTGTAGCTTTCAGAATTAACCTTGGACTGGCCCTCCTTTTGGCTCTTCAGTGTTAAAGCAAAACAAAAAAAACCCTGCTCTGCAGCTGTGCACAATTTACATGTGGCACAACCTTATCTCCAGGTAGGGGTAATTGCTGTGCAACACATCTTCAAGGATTTATTTTCAAGACATTGAAACATCCTGGCCTACTGAAATGGGATAGGGGTGTTTCCCTTCAATTTAAAGTTAATATTAGCTGGTGTTATTCAGGGTCCTTGTGTATGTGGTGATCCTGTGAGTGTAAATGAGATGTTTTGACTCTCCCGAGCCATGATTGTTACTGCAAGTTTCACTTTGCAGAGTTTTAAATCCATATCAGTTAAACAGGCTTGTGGTGGGGGAAGTAACTCTACTCCTTCTAGAAGGAGCAAATTGGAGAAAAAGGCAGTGAAGGTATTGCTGTAAAATGTTTGATCCAATCTCTGTTGGAAAGTGAGAGTATTAAGCTGCTGATCTCTTGGCCTTGCAGGTCCGTCTTGTTATGAAGGCTTATTCCTTCATCCGGGAGAATGTGCCCAGAGTCCTGTCCTCTGTGAAGGACAAGTCCAGTGAGTAACTTGCCCTACCTCATTTTACAGCAGGGCACAGCCAGCTCTAATTTCCCCTCCATTACTTTGAGCTGCTCTCACGAGCTGGAGAGGTGGGATTTGAAGAGGTGACTTGGGGTGGGGAGGTCAAAGGGCTCTGCATCGTAATTTCAGCCTGAACCTTTTCATTTGGTGGTAGGCAATGAGCTTGACTGTTGTTCAGGTTTAAGTCATTTCTGGATCCGAAGTCTTTGTTCTGTAGATTCCCTATTCCTGCTTTTAGGGGCAAAAAGTGTTTGGAAGCTGCCAGCCCACCTCCAGCTCAGTGTTCCAGTTGAAATGGCAGCAGTTGTAGAATAGAAGCTCTTTAAGCAAGACATGCTAGAGCTGAACTGAACCTGTGTATTGATACAGGCCTTGCAGCTTCAAAGGCCATGTGATCCCAAGGTGTTAACAGCTACTTAATTACTCTCACTTATTAACTGGGCTTCACGGTGGGGAGACTCCATCTCAAAGATCTCCTTTGTTTTATTCTCTGTAAGTCCATCTCTTCAGTTCCAGACTATGGTTTCTCAGGTGATAGGGGTTTTGTGTTGGGAAAGGGTATTGGGCAAACTGAACTGTCAGTAGGCAAAAAGATTGCAGAATGTTCTTTTTGATTTTTATTTCCCCCCTCTGCCCAGGCACAGTACCTGTTCCCAGAATCTCTCAGTACCTGTACTTCCTCTTTGCTCCCACCCTCATCTACAGAGACAACTATCCCAGGTATTGTGAGCAACAACAGAACATGAAAGTAGTCTGAAAACTGAAGCCAACATTAAGCATCCCTGGGTGTGATCAATTAATGAGTGAGAGATTTCACAAAGATGTGGTAAAGCCAGTAATCTGGCAAGGGTGGTAACCTGGAAACTCACTCTAATGCTCACAGTATTTTGACTTTACAGTTCTGTTTTTATTTCCTTGGGAAACACGCTTGAAGTGAAGCAAATAAAGATCTTGCTACAGATTATCTAGTGATGGACAGTTCCTGCAACAGGCTTGTGTGTTTTATGTGGTGCTAATAAGCAGCCCTGACTCCAGTTTGAGGGGAGAGGCTGAAGCCTTTATAAGTGGGAACTCCCAAACTTTTCTGTACACTGCTGTTGCTCTTTGGCAGTGTGAAGTCAGCGGTCCTTTACGTGACTGTTGGGCAGATCCCCCCCCCTGCCACGTAACTGCACAGCACTGCCCTCCAGATACCTTTCCATTTATGGAATTGCTGGAATTGAAAGCGAGGAACCAGCAGTTTGGGCAGATATCCTCTTAGATGTCAGGAGACTAAGACTTCTGGAATTGAAAACCTGGTTTTTTTCAGACAGTAGGTCAGTAAAATCAGCAATTGAAGGGGAGGGGTTTACTGCTTTGAGCTCCTGTTTAGCTGTGGTATCATGTGTTCTTTTTCCCAGGAATCCCACGATAAGATGGGGCTACGTAGCCACCAAGTTTGCACAGGTGAGTAGTGCAGCTTTTTGCAGAGTGCACTCTTGGACATCATCTGAGCTGTGTGGCTCAACAGCTCTCCCTTTGGCACTAAATCACTCTTTACTTGGTGTGGGCTGACCAGAAAAGAATACCTTTTGGTGACTAAAAAAGAACCTGTGACCTTGGTGCACTAATGGTTGTGTCAAAGAAAGAAAAGAACTTAAAAGTCTTTAGTTAAACAAGCCTTTAGACTCCATTCCAGACAAAAAAAGTCTGGGTGTGTGTGTAGAGCAATACCCATGCACTGGCCTTCTTTCTTTACCCTGATTGTAGTGCACTGACACAGCTGCCTCCCTGCAGATACTCAGAGCAGTTTTGAAATAATGAGGCCTGGAGTCCAAATCTCCAGTGCTTATTTGAGCTTAAGGTTGACTGGCTCTTCCCATTTGTGGCCATGAGCTTCAAAAGCTTCTTGTGGATGTGTTTCCAAGCAATGGATTTGTGTGACTGAAACCTTTCCTGTCACACAATGTGTTCATGGTTTAAAAAGCAAAACAAAGTAGAAAAAAAAAAAAGGGCAACAGAGACAGGCCTTTGGCTGCTTTGCCCTTGGACTAAGGAGGGTGACAGAGCACACACCTATCTTCCAGCAGAGCAGTTAAACCCTGACTCACATTTTGACCTCAGCATCCAGAACGTGGGTTCGTGAGCCAGAGAAACCCTGAGGTGGTTTGCCCTGTAAACATGTCCTTTAGGATGAAAGAAAAGTAAGATTTAATATTAGATTTAAGTACAGTAAGTATTTTTCAGTTATTTCTGCCCTTGTCTTGGACCTAGATCACAGGCTACTTCCCCCACTCTGGCATTGGCACATATCTGTTGTGTCATAGCTCGTAGTTGATAGGACTGGGAGGAACTGACAACTGCTGGAGTAGAAAAAACAAGTTGATTTTGCTTCTGGCTGTCAGTGAGCTACTGGGATTGCTGTGGCTTACTTTGTGCCTGGATCCTTAGGGAGGTTTATTGGCAGCAATGTAAAATAAATTATTTTGGCTTGTGTTGGCAGCTGCTGTTCTTTCCTGGAGCTGGCGAGTGGTGATGTGTTAATTGTGTATTTCTCTTCTGAAGTCAGACTTTTGGGTATTTTTGTTCCAGGTGCTTGGTTCACTTTTCTATGCCTACTACATCTTTGTGAGACTCTGCATTCCTCAGTTTCGCAACAGTAGCCAAGAAACCTTCAATCTTCGAGGGCTGGTCCTGTGCATCTTCAACTCCATTCTGCCAGGTCAGGCCTGGATCCATGAGTGACTGTTACCTTTGTGGGAGAGGTGGGAGGGAGAAGTGCTTCATATGAGCTGTATTCATGGCAGGCAGAGATCAGCAAAGGAGGTCTTGTGGACAGATTTCAGCCTTACAGTGTTAAACTTCAGAATCAGCAGCGCAAAATAAATGCTGGGGTTTGAATTTAAATGTCTCCAAAGTGAAGTTGTAGGCTCTGAGGCAGCCCTGCTTTGCTCTCTGGGTTAAACTTGGCCTAGTGTGGTGAGAAACAGGAATGCTTTCATGCTACCTGTACAAACCAGTAAATCTTATGTGTGCCAGTGCCTGTAAGAACAGCCTTGACTGTGCTATGTGCTCTTGCTTGTAGCTGAGAGAAAACACTACAGAACCAGTCTGCATCTCCCTTGTTTCCAGGTGTACTGATTCTGTTCCTGGTGTTCTTTGCGTTCCTGCACTGTTGGCTCAACGCATTTGCCGAGATGCTGCGTTTTGCAGACAGGATGTTCTACAAGGTAAGAACCAGCAGTTAGAGCTTATAAAGCCACTAAAAGTCATTGTTCATTGTCCTGATGGAAAGGAAAGAGGAGGAAACTGAAGATTGTTTTAGCAAACAAAACATCCATGGGACTTGGCTTGTGTGCTGTTAAAGCTCAAGTTTGTTGCTGTGATGTAGAAGGGATTTGACTTCTGCTTGGCAGTCTGAGTTGTTTTAAGGTGATACACCCTGTGCACAAACAGAACCAGCCACTAGACCTACCCAGCAGCTCCACTAGCACTGTTTTTGTTCTTTTATCACATCAGCCACCTGCAGTTTGTGATAAAACCTAACTTTATTATACCAAGTAGAGTGTTGAAAGTGCGATGGAAAGTGGTTTTTTGTAGCCAAATTGATATGTTAGCTTGGTATTATTCTGTTCAGTATTTTTCAATTTGATGATATCCTAGAAAAGCCCTGTAGAATGGTTTATCCTTAATTAGATTTATAGTCTTTCAACTGTGCTTTCAGGACTGGTGGAATTCCACATCCTATGCAAACTACTACCGAACCTGGAACGTGGTAGTACATGACTGGCTCTATTACTATGCCTACAGGGACTTTCTTTGGGTGAGTAACAAGCAGATGTGTTCTTTTGTTAATTAAACATTTAACTACTGGGCAAAACAGTACCTTTGTCAAACTGCAGCATCCCTGTCCGTTTAGAAGCACAAAAATGTCTCACGTCAGCTGTTGTGGGTATTCACTGTGCTTTTTAGGGAGACAGATCCAAGTCCTTAGTGTGTGCAAACTGTGGGTCTGAGATGTAGGAATGCAGGCACTGACTCAGAGCTAGAACTCACATTGCACTGTTTTGATGAGCTGTGGTAGATATTTCATGAGTGGGCTCAACCTGAGAACCTGTGCAGGAGACCAGAAATATGCCTGAAGGAAAACACCTAAACCCCAAGGTGCTCTGTAAATCACCGAGTGTGTCATGTGTGCCTCTTGGCTGGAGGAGGCCCTTCTCAACTCAGGAAAAAAACATAAATGTTGCAACAAACAGCCATAACCCACATCAGAGTAGCTCCTAATTGGTATCCTCCTCTCTTCCAGTTTTTTGGTAAGAAGTTCAGAGCAGCAGCTATGCTGTCTGTCTTCACTGTGTCAGCTGTTGTGCATGAGTACGTTCTGAGCATCTGCTTTGGCTTCTTCTATCCAGTTCTCTTTTGCCTGTTTGCATGCTTTGGAGGTAAGTGACCAAGGAACAGAGGATGGGAGGGAGCTGTGGGGGTTTTTTTTAAAGCATGTTTTGCCCTTCTGATAGTGATCCAGTCATTCTTTAGGTACTACCACACAGGACTGTTTCTTGTCCCAGGGTTGGAACTGTGAGTCCAACTCTTGTGACTCTGGCTCAGTAGATATATATCTGTATACACACAGAGGATTCTGAAGTTTGGGAGTTAAAGGAACAAGATATTGGTGAAGAGGAAGAGAGCCCTATATGATATACTGCTGGTCCTGTGGGACTGCACACAGTTTAATAGCACTGCTTCCTCTTTGCCAAGCTGCAGCTGAGTTGCTGTGTCTCAGCAGGTTGTAGGTTGTCTTCTTCAAAGTCATAGTGTAAGACAAGTATTGCTCTGCTACTACATTGAGGAAGAGCCTCCTTAGAAGTTAGAGCTCTTGCATTTCATTTTGGGTTTTGAGTTGGAGGGCTCCAATAATCTCTAGGCCACCTCTGCCATGTCTTGTCACCAGGGTAGCAGAGATACTGATCCCCAGAGGCACAAGGTGGGACACCTTTTTTGGCAAACAATAGTAGTTGCTCTATTACCAAGCATAATCAGATTTTCTTGCACTACACTGACCTCATGGAGTGGCCTTGTTGCTCCAGAGGTGAAGTGAGAAGATGAAGGGAGAGGAAGGTGCAGTGAAATCGGTTGATCTTTGGTTTTGAGTTTGCCTCTAAACGATGTTTCTGGTTTCACCTCTTTCCAGTGGTCTTCAACTTCACCCTCAACGACCGTCGGAAAGGGCCCATCTGGAATGTGATCATGTGGACTTCCCTCTTCCTGGGCCAAGGTGTCATCATCTGCCTCTACAGCCAGGAGTGGTATGCGCGCCAGTACTGCCCCACGGAAAACGTGAGTGACTCCCCTTCCCTGGGGGATAACCAGGGGGCTGGCCCTGCCTTGCTGTGGGGAATGGCAGAAGTTCTATGGCACAAGGCTTTTTGGCAGTAGGAGCTATTCAGTCTGCAGGCTCCCTCACAGAAGTGCTTTCGGTATTGCTCCTTCTGTGCTGGTTGTATTTCACTGCTTGAAACTAAGGGTGGTTTTCCCACATTTCTGTGGATAGAAACCACTGTGCTAAACCTCATTTAGGCTGTGGGGATGGAGGTCGAAGAAACTTTCATGGAAGGCCCACAGAATCTGTGCCTGTTGTACCTCTGCCAGGCTGGAGTGGGTGGCAGTGAGAAATGGTTGCCTGTAAATGGTCAGTTTGGGGTTTTGTTGGGGTGTTTTCTCCGACTTCTAACTCCTTTTCTTGGGTACCAGACTCTGTTCTACATAAAACTTCCTGCTGTACTAGCTGATTTTCAGTTTTAACCAAAGGGATCCTCAGGCAACCGCTATTTTAAGTTTGATTCTCCTCATTTAAGAGTTTGCCATTGTAAATGACTTGGCTTCCTGATACAACGTGCTGCTGGGCACAGCATTTATCTGATGCACGAGGACTTCTGGCTGTGGCTGCACTTCCAGGCACTGCTTAGCGAGGGTTAGAACAGGGTTGCAGGGTGTTGAAATGGGGTTTGATCTTTCCTGCTAGGCAAGTTTGACTTCAGGGGCTCACACCACAGCTGGTGCTGTGGGCCTGTGACTAACTCACTGCCTCTCCATGTTTTGCAGCCCACATTCCTGGACTATTTAAAGCCACGCTCGTGGTCGTGTCACACGAAGATGTGAAGATGGTGTCCTCTGGCTGTGTCGTCACAGAAAAACAGAGTTGTCCTCCAAGTATTTGGACCAATGATTTAACTCACTACAGACTTTTTCTAAGGGAAGTTGTGCCTCCTGATTATTGGGGAGAAACTGTAATTTTTTTTAAGCGTTGCTGGAGCAAACCAGTTGACCTGGATTTGCAACAGACTTCATAGGCAGCATCTATTATGTGCTGTCCCACTTTGAGCCATTTCCATGCCAGTAAAACATTGAGCTGAAGGTGGAGACTACTGGAATCCTACTCATCCAGGGGTCCCCCCAAGTTGCTGCTTTTCTGGACAAGAGGCAAGCTAGTCAGATTTGCTGGTAGCTCATTGTTGGCATCCGTCCACCTTCCTTAGCCGTCCCTCTGCAGGTTTTTTTTTCTCCCTTTTGGTAACGGGATGTCTACAAACCTTCTGTTTTCTGTGTTCCTGCCTGGCACTGTGACCCAGGCAAGTGGCAGAGCAACAGGGTGTTTGCCTTCTTGCTCTGAAGATAGCCAAAGTATTCCTGGCTGGCTTTGAATTGTGTTCCATGTGCGTTGGCTGCCAACAGATATAAAATGGGCAGAGGGAGAGGGGATTGTCATTGTGCTTGTGGCTGCTTTGCAGAGTCAGGTTTGGAAGCAGGGCATGGTGTGTGCAGTCTTTATATGACTTTCTACACTGAAAATTTGTGTTTTATCTGCATTCATTTAGTTCCCAACTGTCTTACAGCATTTTTGTTCTCTGAAGGCCCTTGTGACTCAAGGAATAGTTTTTCTTCTTGCTCTTCCTTTCTCCTGCTCTAGATAATCAATTCTTTTAACATAATTAACTTGTAAAAGAGATTTTACTTCAATTTGGCAGGTGCTTTAAGGTATACACAGTTGTTAAGGGTATCTTTATTAAGAAAGACTTGAAATACTACAAGCCAACTGTAAGAAAATAGGATCAACATTACAGATACCTGGCACAATCTCGTTTACCACGTGCAGCTCAGCACCTTGGTGCCACTTGCCCACATGTGTTGCAGCAGCTTCTAATGCTGCTGGGGAATGAGGGTCAGCTGGTGGAGGTACCTTGACTTTGGTGAAGGGGGTCACCTGACAGAGATACCTTAACTTTGGTGTCAAAGATTTCAGAATTCCTCAAATGTTCTTTATTGGCGCTTTTTGGTGACAGTGTTTCTGTACTGACCTGCAGCTCTGGGTGTTTGACACCAGCAACTATCGGGACAGCTGATGGACTTGTCTCCCAAACCACTTCAGATGCTCCTTTGGGCTTCTGTTTTCATTGAGTCCACCTGAGTCAGAAGGAATTTCATGGGAGAAATTAAACTCTTCCAGGTGTTCAGTCTTCAGTAAGGAGTCCTACTCTTGAGAAAGGGTGTTGTGTCTGGGCAAATTTGCCAAATACAGTGTTTGTGTGTGTGGCTCTCCTTTGAAAATATCTCCTGCTAGAAATTGCTTGTTGAAATGATTGAGGTAATTTCAGAGGAAGACTTTCACATATATACTCAAATTTGGCAGTATTAGCTTATAAAATCCTGAGAATTACATGCATTACTTTACCCTCGTTCAGTTTGAGTAATCCTAAATCTTTCACTATACCTTCTGTGGGAGGAAAGAAGTTCTGGAACAACTAAGTTTCCTTATTGAAAAAAACAGACAAACCCCCACGCTTTGACCAAACAGCTTTGTCACCTCCTCGGCGTAGGATGAAACTCTGTCCAGTTCTTTTTCATTTGGTGCTCAAAACACTGACAGATGTAACTGCACTCAAAGGGGGTGTGATGGATTAGGGGCTTGGCTTGCTGTCTTCTTGCCTATGTCAGGTTTTGGTGTTGTCTCAGTGTTCTCAAAAGGAGACCAAACCCTGGTGGTGGCTCACTTTGTGCCCAGTTTTGGTGTTTCCCTCACGGCTGGCGCTGCTGAATGCCCAAAAAGAACACCAGCATTTACTGTGTCAGCATCCTCACTGTTTGAAGCCTCAGGGCTTGAGCATCTGGCAAGCAAAAGGCAGCCAGAAAGGGATGCTCAGCTGTTGGAACTAGTCTTAGTTTTTGACAAGTTGAGGTTTTTAGCCTTGTAGATCAAGGTATCTGGCAACTGTGCTGTCAGGGCATTAACAATTTGGATTACTTTCAATTCTGTGGGTTTTTATAATTGCTTCTGAATGTGGGCTTATTTTCATTTTTCTTAAGAGTGCTGGAGGGGAAATTCTAAGTCTTTTGCACGTGGCTCGTTTAATTAGAGTTGATGATACCACGTTGGAGTTTTCTTAGGCTGTGAGGGCCAGACCTAGCAGTGCAATGCTCTGGTCAGCAAGGAGGATGCGAAGGTTCCCACCTGCCCTTTACAAGTACTTCATATAAAAAATACTGTTTCCTGTGGTTCTTTCCAACACAAGGATTGTGCAGCTTGCTTCCATGGTAACTCAGTTACAAGGTGGGAAGTCTCCAGCTTTGGAATGGCAGCCAGTACAGCTGCAGCTCCTTGCTCAGTAACCTCACGAAAATCAGTATTAATACAGCACATGCGGTGTGGTTTTCATGCAGAAAACAGTTTCTTCTTGGGAAGACCGAACCTCTGTGGAGCCCTCAGGCCTAGCAGGTCCTTTCTGTCGGGGTGTTTGGCTTCCAGCCTCAAGGGGTGAGGCAGTCCTGCCTCTGAGCTGTGTGCTCTCCCGTGGCAGCCGTCCGAGTACAGCGTGTGCTGTGGTGTGAGCTGGGGCAAATTCTGATGGATTTCTTCAGGATGGAATGGCATGGATTGCTTGAACCTGCTAAGGGAAACTGAACTGTTGGAGCTTCCGCTGCCAGATGCAGATGGGCTGGAAGGAGGGCGGATTCAAGGAGTCCACATGCTCTGCGGCATCAGGATGATGAGCTTGGCTCCCTGTGGAACCTCTGAGCCAGCCTTGGCTCATCCCTTCTCCTGGTGCCTCCAGCCATGGTGCCCCTTCCCTGGTGGTGGCAGAGGACAGCCCAGCCTTGGCCCTGGCCCCAGCCATTCCATGATACAACCTGTACCATGTTCTGTCACGCACAAGAGCTGTTTATAATCTACTGTATTACAGCAGTTAAAATATATTTTGCTATTAGGGGAGGAAAAATAAATGCCTTTGCCTGTTTTTTCTCTGAGGGTCCTGGTTTGGTGGAAGGAGTTAGAGGAGGGCACAGGGGATGGGGACAGAGTAAGATATGTGGGGTTGCTCTCCTGGGAAGGTGGCTACTGTGGGGACAAAGAGAGGGAGGGAAGCCTGAAGCTGCCCATGCCCAGAGCTCCAGGGAATCCCTGGCACAGCCACCTCCTGGATGGGGCTGCAAGTGTCCTCTTGCTTTCCAAGGGAAGGCAGGGGATAGGGATGGAGCCAGTCATGCCGTGGCAGACCCAAGCCTGGAGGTTCCAGGCAGGATCATAGGATGGCAGCAGGGAGGAGACCTCCTTGGCTGGGTGCAGGGGGAGGAACTTTAACACAAGCCCTTCTTCAGGTTCTGGAAAGCAGCAGGAAACATCCAAGGTAAATACCAGGTGAGAAGGGCAGTTGGGGGTTCCTAAGCTGCCTCTCAGCCATCATGTCCCTGCAAGGGGAAAGGATGTCCTTGGAGTGTGGGAGAGGAGCACGGAGGAGGAGTCAAAGCTCCTGGAACAGACCTGAGTTTCTAACCTCTCTCAGTTCAATGCACATTAAACTGGAGCAGCTGCCAAATGTATATCATGTTGGTGACTTCTGCCTTTATTTTGGGCCTGAAGCGGGTTTGTGTGCCAAGAACTTAATGTGATTATTTTTCCAGCTGTGTACCACATGCTCTTAAGTCTTGTCTGTCCTTAAACTGTAACAGCTACAGAACAAGGCCATCAATCTTCCTGTTCTTTCTGGTGGGAATATCAAGGAATGCCAGAGAGCCATCGGAGGGAAAACAAAGCCTCTGTGACAAGTTTTTAGCAAATTTTTGTGTTTCCAAGAAGCCTTTTACTCAGCAAGACAAGAAACTACCTGCCAAGGTTACTCCTAGATTACACCCACACCCACAAAGTTGTATCTGAAGAAATGTAATTAACCTAATTAGAACCCACAGTACAAGGATAGAGCTGATAAGGAAGGTCAACAAGTCTTAATACTATTTATAAAGAATTGCACATTCTTGCAAGGCTGGTGGGGGAGAAAGGCTTCAGAAGAGAATTCATAAGGATTATGAGACTAATGGGAGTACCATATTTTTTTTTTTCATTAATAAGATACCTCCAAGAATAAAAAGTGGTAAGATTATTAATTGGTGACAAATATAATAAAATCTCTGCCCCAGTCCAGATGTATGAAAGGAACAGTTGTGCTTAATGCAGTTTGTAGGTGGAAACCAAGCATCTCTTTGGAGGATGTAGCAAAGCACTGGAGGCTTCTTTGGAAAGGATGCACCAAGTGTTGGGTGTAAGGGGAGTTTTCCCAATAAATAATAGCAAAAGTCAAAAAAAAAACCAAAAAAACCACCTTGACCCTGTGGGGTAAGTACAAATGTGGGTTTAATTCTGTTACTAGATCATTCATTACTGTAAAGTTTCCTTGGCTAAGCATTCAAATAAAATAAACACCATGCCCACAACTGGAATGCCTGTTCCTGGACCAAAAGCCCATGGAAGGAAGCTGAGAGGGGCCTCGTGGGCACCCTCAGGTGGTGAGGACTGGCCAGGTAGGGCTGGGCTGGAGGCTGGGGGGTTCTACATCCACCTCTCCATCCTTTCAGCTTCCCTCTAACCCAGGATGCTTCCCAGCATTACCCTTTGCCATTGTTTAGGCAATTGCTGGTGTTGTAGGGGTATTCCCAGCTCTGCAGAAAGCTGACTGTGGCAATCCACAAGAAGGGAAATGGCTTTATAAAGATCAACTGAAGTTCTTTATGGGCATCCCTTGGTGTCTCTGCACCTGACAGCTTGGCACAGTCATGTGGCTTGTGCTTTGTCTCCCACAGCTAGAAGATGACTTGTTCTAGGCTTCACTGAAGATCTAACAACCACTAAACATGGGATTAGCTGCCTGTGCTCTGGGGTAAGGAAGCAGGGATCTTGTCACAGTTTTGCTCAACCCCATACTTGTATCATTGGTTTCACTTTCTCTTTCACCAGCAGAATAACTGCTGTTGGAATGGTTCTCCCTGCTGCTCTCCAGAGATCCCCAAGCTGAAGGGATACCTCAAGGGTGCTTGACCTTCAGGCCTGTTTCTTCCTCCCTGCAGTGTAATTTTGTTCCAGAGGAGGTTTCCAAAGCCTGACCTGTTCCAATGCTTCTCTCTATAGCCCAGAGAACTTACAAACCACCAGAGCCCCATGGGACTTCAGGGTATGTTTCCATCTCCTGCCTCTTTCTGTCCCAAACTGCCTCTTCTCTGGGGGTGCCTGTTTGTTCCGTGGGCAAAAGAAAATTTTGCTGACCACATAAGATAAATTTGTCCTACATTGCATCACTTTCCTGACCACACCATTTGACGCAGATCCAAAGCACTGCCTTCCAGTCTCTGCAAACCTGCTCATGCCCTGGTGCCGCCGAGGCTGTTCTGTCCCCACTGGTTTCTTTAGCCCCCAGAAATAACGACAGGGAGCTTGTTCAGACGGTTACCCTGCTTTCTCCCACTCCTGGCCATGTTTCTCACTCAGTGGTGAGAGCCACGTGTGTGCCTTGTGTGCAGGGCTGCCCGCAGAGATCAGCTTTGGCATTATCCTGATCACTGGAGCAAGTTCAGACACCTGACAGACCCCCCTGTCAGTTTGTTGAGTGCTGGAAGGTAGGCAAAGAAGAGATAAGGAGCCCAGGAAAGACAGAACTGGGACCACAGAGACCTCTTCTGTGGTCTTATGGCAGGTGGCTTTGTTGCCTGACGTGGCTGGATGAATCAACGAGCTGGACTGTGGGAGTGTGAGCAGAGAGATTTTGAGGGAAAGATGTTTTGGGATTAATAAGAGAGTTGCTAAATGAGTGCTTCTTAGAAACATCCTTCCAAAGGATGCCAGGCTGGCAGGGATGCTCTGTGATCCACGATTAAGAAAAGAAGCTTCTCCTGGTTTTAATGGACTTAGCAGGGAGTAGCTTTGCACTTCTTTGTATATAAGCGTTGCTTAACAGCACTAGGAAGGGAGGAATATTTTGTTCTGGATCAGATGTCAGATATTTAGGCAATAGAGTATTGGCAGAAGACCTGAAAAATGGTCTTTGGCCAGCAACAAGCAATGTGAGATTAATCTGCCTAAAAAACATGATCTCATCTGTCTTTTTTGTCCCAGGGGAGGGAGCCCTGGCTGTAAGCCAGGCCTCAGGCTGAGCAGGACAGACCAGTGCAGGGTTTAGGCCAGAGTAAGGGAAGAGTGG